GATTACAATAGCACATTATATTTATATCATTATCAGTTAAGGTAGAGTACAATATTTCACTTTACGTGATTCACTTAAATAAAAAATATGAATTTTACAATACTTTTTACTGTCAAATCTTTTCGTTTAAGTATAAATGTTAATCAATAATAAATTTATCATTTGTGAGAGGTAAGTCTTTTTTCTTGAAAATGATAAGATACTCGACTTTTTCATAACCTTAATCCAAGTAAGACGAATTTAGTGTTAATTTATACTCCGTAATATTGTATTATTTCTTTTTTTAGTTTTTTATTTCGTGTCACATTTTATTTAAATAATAAATCCATCCAGGTGAGATGGGTTACAATTTTCATTTTCTGTTCATAAAACATTAGACTTCGATCTATGATTTAAATCAAATAAATCAATACGCATCGAGCTGAATCAAATAATTTTCATATGGTAATCAAAACTTGAAATCAAAACGAACAAAACTAAAACACAAATGGTATGAATTTGGTACAATATCTGTGCAGCTGAATAAATCAAAACCGAATAAATTGAAACGGAACTCAACTGCATAAAATTGAATTATAAACCGAGTTATCCATGAGAGCTTCTTCTTAGGGAGCGCAGATCGTTTCTCCTAGCCTCCTAGGGCAGCCGCCTCTGGACTTTTTTTTTTCGAATTCGATCATATTGATCGAAGTTCGGCTGTTCTTGTTCGCATATCTGGCCGCGGAGCAGTGGTCTGCTTATGACTAAGGTAGAGCGATCATGGGTTTTTCTCTCTAGCTTTGACTATGTCGGCCGCTGGAGCCTTTTTCCGATTTCGACTTTATCGAAGATCGGCTTTGTTATCCCTTGGTCGCCGGTGCTCGACTGGAGTCCAGGTCAGAGGCGGAGGGCGGAGATCGGTGGAGGAGGGCAGATTTGTTGTCATGGCTCGAGGAGATCGGCGCTGTGGTCAAGGTTCGAGGATGCGGCATTGTTGTCGTCGTTGGAGAAGATCGGCGCCGCCTGTCCGCTTACTCTGGTCGCACGGAGCAAGGATGAGTTTGGTTATGCAGGGACAGAGGATTGATGCATGGTCTTTGGCAGCCAAAGGTCATGGAGGATCAATTAGCATGGTACCAGTGGTACGACCTCCTCCTGAACCACCACCATGGGATGCACGAGGTGCTAGAGTTCGTGAACGTTTTTCTTGTAGTTTTTATCTGTTTGTTATTTGTTTTCTTGCGTCCATTTTTGTTGTTGGGTTTGACAGTTTGTTTGAGTTTTTTGCCTCTCTTTATGTCATTGGGTATGGTTGGATCTATGAGAATAATTTTGGCTGTGTCAAGCCCACTACATGGTTAGCGATTCGTGTTGCTCTCTCAGGGGTGACCGTCTAAAAGTCTCACTATAGGGTTACAGTCGTGGTTGTTGGAGTTTCAGCTGGTGTCTGTTTTATTTTCCCTTTGCTTGATGTAATGATCCTAATGAATCTTTTTATATGAATAGAGGCATGTTTTGATGATAAAAAAACCGAGTTATCCATCCCTAGTGTGTATTCACCTTTGACCTGTGAGAATCAATTTTGGAGTCTCACACCCTGGCAAAGAGATTGTGAGTACGTATATTATACAACCGGCTGTACGGTGAGCATCGTACAGCCGGCCCAGTAACAGGCCTAAGGGTAAAATAGCAAAATAATTCGGTGACATTTTTGTAATTAATGTGAAAATCGCGATTTCTGCTAATTGAGCATTAGTGTACAGTTAATGAGCAATAGTCCAATTTTAATGAGTATTAAGCGTCTAATAATGAATACCGTGTTATTACAAGAAAGCTGATGTAAGAAAAATATTAGTAAGAAAGCTGATTTTAATTAATAGTCCAATTAGAGTAAGAAAAATTTAGACGTGCACAAACTTTACTAAATTTGGTATACGACAATATTAGTATGACATACCGAAAACCAAAGATGAGATCATCTTACGGGACGAAAAGAGTATCATAGGATATTAGATGTTTTCTTCCTCAAATAGGACCATCTTACACCTACTTTAAAACATATGGAATTTCTCATTCCATTTTTACCCCTTGCACTCTGATTAGCCGACTGGTCATCTCTTCTACGCAGACCCCCCTCCCTCTACACACAATCATCTCTTTCCCTTCTCCTCAATAAATTCTTCGCCCCTGCACATCATATCCATCGACTTCTCATCTTCACATGAGATCAATCAACTTCATCTCTCGTACGCCATCGTCAATTTCATCCTTAGCCATCGCCGCCGCTGCTGACTCCATAGGCGCACATTGCCGTTTGGTCGGGTTCAGGGGCGGATCCAGGAATGAGGGGTGGGGAGGGCTAAGCAGTAAAAATTTTCGTTATTGCATACAAAAGGTTTAGCTTAGGACTGATAGTTATTGAACTGAGTTTTTTTTCGAACTACTCGAGTTCAATCGTGATTTCGAATTTAATTTAATGACCAAAGCTTAACGAGCTTCAATTTTAGTTTAAATAGTTGTTTTTACAAAAAAAGCGGCCATTATTTTTTTGAGTTTGAATAGTTATTCAAGCTTCGAGCATAGTCATGTTCAGTTCGATCTGGACTCGAGCATATTCATAGCTTATAAATTATAGAAATAAACTATATACTACCTCCGACTTTTATTAAGACTAATTTGACTTTTCAAGTCAAAGAAGTTAAACTCTGAATGACTATATATTTATACAATAAAATTGATAATATGAAAATGAAACGGAAATGTTCTTTGTTAAAAAGTTTATCATAAAAGTACAAATTTAGTAAGTTTCACATTAATACATAAGTTAAAATAATGGATCAAAGTTTACCATCATATCTTTGAGTAAAGAGTCAAAGATGGCTAAATAAAATGAGACAGAGGTAGCATATCTAAAATTTAAACGTTTTTAGTGTGATTTATAATTTTATTATTGATTATTAAAGATTTTAGTATTTATTGATATGAATTAAAATACTTCTATAAAAGTATAAAACTAATAAGTAAAAATAGTCGATGTACATAAAACTTATAAGTATTCCCAATTTTAAAATTGAATTGAGATTTTGAATCCATTCTTACGTGCCTAAATAGTAAATACATCGTTCTCTATTCTTTAATTGCATTATAAATAAATCATATTCTAATCTTTAATTCTATCTTTAATCATTACTCCCTCCGTCCCCTTTTAAATGGGACGGGAGATGGTGGCACGGGTTTTAAGAAAAGTGAGTTTGTGTTGTTGATATTAATTGATAAAGTAAGAATAAAGTAAGAATGATTTTGAGCCACACAAAGTTTACCAAATAAGGTATGAGACAATTAAATAAAGACATCCCAATATGGCAAAACGGGACATTTAAAAGGGAACGGAGGGAGTATAAATTTATAATAATAAATAAAAACTATTTTACTATCTACTGAAAAAATTCAATTAATAATCAAATATAATTACAAAGTTGGTAGGCTTGGGCTGGGCTAGACATTAGTTTTGAGGTAGGCTGGAAATTAAACCTATACCTATAATAATAAAAATAAATTGGGCTGGGCTGGGCTGGAGCCCACCCCTGCCCCAACATAGATCCGCCCATGGTCGGGTTTCTTCTTGTTCATCATCATCCTCCTATTATTCCACTGATTCTGAAGTTAATTTTTTAGATTTTTCTTTTATCCTTTTTTTTTCTCTTTAAAATGCGTTTTTTCGAGATTTTTGGATGATAGGATACAATTTTGCCAAGTTTTCTGGCAGTCGTATTATGCCATCGTTTTCTTTGCGTAATTCTGTTTTATTGAATTTTGTCATTTACTTCTTATTTCTTATTGAGTGAATTTGTTAAATCAATTTTTCCATTAATCTTTTGATTTTTTTTGGATATTTAGCTGTAAACTTCATATTTTGCCAAGATAATCGTTGTTTTGCGTAAATCTGCCAACTTTTGTTTGTTTTCATGGCTGTTTTAAGGCGCCAGATGGCGGCTGTGCTCGAGGGTGAAGTGATTGACCCCAAATTTAACATTGCCGGCAGTGTCGATGGGAGGATGGTGGCATTGGCGGCACATGGAAATGCCAGTTGGGCAGCAACCGATGGCATGATGTAGTGGTAGGCGGCACATGAGAGATGTGGCAGCCTCGACGAGGGTGGAAACACTTGGTACGGCGAGGGCGGCAACACACAATTGAAAATTTAGAGTTTCAACACTTTTTAAATTTTACATTTTTAAAATTAAAAAATAAAATAAAACAGGGTTATTTTTGTCAAATTGTGCTGAATTTTGTCATATGAAACTTAACTTTTATTGAAACTTCTAAATTGGCAACTAACTTTGCTTTCGGTCCTATTTAAAAATTTTACTCTACCAAATATTTATCAGACCAGACATATACAACCAAATCAAAGGAAATCGGACCTAATTAGATCATAACATACCAGAAAATTTTAGTCCAATCGAAAAGTTCATATATCCTGCCACAACTTCATGTTGACATTTTCACTACAATATACACTTCTCATCGTTTTATATTTTTAGAATTCAAATTGCATCGCCGAGGACATGTGTCATTTAAAATTTGAATTACATTGTGGTACTTCTTCCATCCTTTAAAACCAGTTTAACATGCACGGAGAATAATAAAATAAACTAAAAATTGTATGATTGATTTTTTTTTGCAAAAGAGAAACAAATAACATAAATCACAAATTAATTGATTAAAAGGGAAAATGACAAAATTTGTAGGAAATCCCAAACATAAAAGATAATGTGAAGTTTGAAAGATAACAAAGTTTTAAGAAATGAATGAAGTCTATTTTATAACTAGTAAAATTTTATCTTATCTTATCATTAATATAATTCAAGTTTCCTAATCATGGTCAGTAGATTATTATTTGAGAATCTCAATCATGCTAGCAAACACAACCTGAGTTCATTAGAATGATATAATTACTTCATCTAAAAAGAATGGTTAGTTATTGTTGGAACAAGCATAAGTCATAACATTGGATCCTACAAAAATAAAAAGATTTAAACGTATACAATTGGGAAATGCAAATTTGAATTGGATTGTGATCTGAAGAATTGTCTTCAAGCTAAACAACACACCCATCATCAACAGAAATGAAAAAGAAATCAATTTTATCCTATGCTAATGAATGAAATAAAATAGAATCTGCTTAAATGAATGAAATAAACTAGAATCTGCATCTTCTAACACCAAAAGTGACCCAACCACCGGAGAAATCTTCATGTTCTCAGTTGGCCGGAGAAAGATAGACTGAGCAAACTTTTGAAGATAAAACTCCGTTGTTTCTACTTATTATCAGCAACTTTGTACATGTCAGCACTAATTTCAGTCAGCCACAATCCAGGAAATAGGCTCTGCAATTTAGTCCATTCAAAAATCATATCGATTTTCACTATGAATAATCGCAAATTGTTTACTATAAAAATTGATGAAAAAGGACTTACATCTAGATTTCTCTGAATATTTTTAGCTCGTTTCTTGGGGCGGCGAGATGGTCTGTGACGGATTATCGCTGCGAAATCTTCCTCGATCTCTTGCCGGGACAGGGCAACGGCGAACTTTACCCTCTCCCCATTCTCTCTGACGGGAAATACTCTTGCTGCGGCGGCGGGGACGGAAGCGGTGGCAGAGCTACACCGGACTCTCGGAGATTTGTCTTCGGTCATCAATGGCGGCATCGTAATGTCGATCATAAAACCCGAATTCGATTAGCCCGAAGCGGCGGTGGACCCGTTCGGCTGCTTACTCCCCGGCCGGCGAGTGCGCAAGTTCCACGGCCTCGCGGGTTCAGATGGACCCACTGGCGAAATAGTGTTCGTGACAGTCGTCGGAGCCGGCGGCGGCCGTTCCTCGGAATCTTCCTCCTCCAGCCGCCCTTCAGCTACTTCAGCCGGTAATTCCCGGCCACCATTCGTCGGCCCATTTTTTAAAACACCCACCCCCAGAAACGCCTCATCTAATCCGACACGCGGCAACCCAGAATCGCTTTCCGACCCACTCTGCTGCCCAAGCGACATCTCCGGCGACAGAGTATGAAATCTCCGGTGAACGGCGGGGAATTGGCCCATAGAATCAGGCTTCCCGCACCGCAAGAGCTTCTGTTTTCCCCACTTCAAGGGAAGCGTGAAATTGTGAAGCGGCGGATTCGATCTTTGAGAACCCATTGCCATTGACACCTCCCAATACATGTCCTCCTCCTCCTTCCTCTCTGCTGATGGGAAAAACAGCCACAAACGGAACTAATAAAATGCGGAATTAATCTCCGTTTGGCTAAACTTTCCCCAACTTGAATGAATCTTTGAGGATGCAAACAAATAGGGTGTTCTTAATGCAATTAGAACACACACAAGTTGCTGCCACACACCAATATATTCAGCTAAAAACAGTAAGCACACACCACACACAAACACCGGAATTTTAGCGTGGAAAACCCGTTAACTAGGGAAAAACCACGGGACCATTTTTGGCCGCTTAAATCCACTATCATCATCAAAGGAGCAGTACAAAGTGTTCTCTAGATAATACTAGAGGCATACACATTCATCATATCCTTGGAAGTAAGCACATCAAGTTGTATGGAATCAAATAGAGCCAAGATAAGATAAATATCACCAGAAAAATAGCTACTGTCCAGACCAACGAAACCCGACCTCCGGACCTCAAAACCCGATCTCCACCGTCCAGAATGTTGGCTCAGATGCTGTGAAGCTGCTGTCCAAAAATCACGACGATCCAACGGTTCAATCTCCGGGAAAGGGATGTTTTCTGCTGTTGCCTGCTGGAAAAACGGGATGAGCATTTTTCAGCTCATGTTTTGTGATTGTTCTCACTTATCTGCTGCTCTCTTTCTGTCCATCAAAAATGTAAGATAGTGGCTGACCCATATTTTATTATTAGCTCCCAAACACACAAAGTCAAAGAAGACTTTTAATGGGCTCAATACTTGGGCTTTCCTCATGGGTCAAAAACAAAGAAAAACCCAACAAATCTCCCCCTTTTTGACTTATGAGGAAGAGTTCGCCATACCGGCGATGGAGCAACATACCTTCAACTTTTCCCTTGCTAGAACCTTCGTCAACATATCAGCACCATTATCATCGGTATGAACTTTATCAAGTTCAAACAGTTTGTCTTCAAGTGCATCTCTAATCCAATGATACCTCACATCAATATGTTTGGTTCGTTTGTGAAACATAGAATTTTTAGCAAGGTGAATGGTACTTTGATTATCACAAAGAACCACATAACGTTGTTGCATAAAGCCAATCTCTTGCATAAATCTTTTGAGCCACAATAGCTCCTTGCATGCTTCTGTTGCAGCCACATACTCAGCCTCGGTGGTGGATAAAACCACACACTTTTGCAGTCTCGATTGCCATGACACAGCTCCCCCTGCAAAAGTCATCAAATATCCAGAAGTGGATTTCATGTTGTCCTTATTTCCTGCCATATCAGAATCAGTATAACCAACAAGTACTGGCTCCTCATTTCCAAATGTTATACCCAATTTGGAAGTACCACGTAGATATCTGAGAATCCACTTCACTGCTTCCCAATGCTTCTTACCTGGATTTGACAGAAACCGACTAACAACACCTACTGCATGGGCAATATCAGGTCGTGTGCACACCATAGCATACATCAAGCTCCCTACAGCTGAGGCATAAGGAACTTTATCCATCTCTTCAATCTTCTTCTCAGAAGATGGACAATCTTTATCTGTCAACCTGAAGTTGGTAGTAAGAGGTGAACTAACCTCTTTAGCTTTGTCCATGTTGAATCTGCGAAGCACCTTCTCAATGTATTGCTCCTGTGACATGTGTAGCTTCTTCAAAGCTCTATCTCGAGTGATCCGAATGCCAAGAATCTGTTTTGCTGGCCCCAAGTCTTTCATAGCAAAAGACTTGCTCAATTGCATCTTCAGCTGAGTAATTCTTTCTGCATTCTTGCCAACAATTAACATGTCATCAACATATAACAATAAAATGATGAAATCATCATCATCAAACCTCTGGAAGAAAACACAATGGTCTGAAGTAGTCTTTCGGTAATTTTGCTCCCCCATAACTGACTCAAACTTCTTGTACCACTGTCTTGGTGCTTGCTTCAACCCATAAAGACTCTTTTGAAGTCTACACACATAACCTTCTTTTCCCTTAACCTGAAACCCTTCAGGTTGCTCCATGTAGATTTCTTTATCCAAGTCACCGTGAAGGAAAGCTGTTTTGACATCCATCTGTTCAACCTCAAGATCAAGGCTGGCTGCCAAACCCAGAACAACACGAATAGATCCCATCTTCACGACCGGAGAGAAAATCTCATCAAAATCAATACCCTTTCTCTGACTGAACCCTTTGACCACCAATCTAGCCTTGTACCTAGGTTGTGAGGTGTGCTCTTCAGTCTTCACTTTGTAGACCCACTTGTTCTTCAAAGCTCTCTTGCCTTTAGGCAACTTCACCAACTCAAATGTATTATTTTCATGTAAGGAATTCATCTCATCTTGCATGGCTTCAACCCACTCCCTTTTGTGCTCATCTTCCATGGCCTCTGCATAACACTCAGGCTCTCCCCCATCAGTGAGTAAGACATACTCATTAGCTGAAAAACGGGTGGAAGGATGACGATCTCTTGTAGACCGCCTAAGTGGGATAAATGGTGGCACGTCTGGTACTGGTATCTCTGAATGAAATTCTTCATCCACCTCTGGCTGTTCTGGAGTATCAGTATCATGTTGTTCATCATTCTGAACATCATTATCAAGAGGTGGTTCTACATGCTGAGGAGGCACTGGATCCAAATCAGTAACATCATCATTGTGTTGAGGAACTGTATCTTTCTTCTCAACATCTTTCAAGTTCTGATCTTCCACAAACACAACATCTCGACTTCGAATAAGTTTCTTGTGGACTGGATCATATAATCTGTAACCAAACTCATCTTGGCCATAACCCAGGAAAACACATGGTTTGGACTTCACATCAAGCTTTGATCTTTCATCTTTAGGAATGTGCACAAAAGCTTTGCATCCAAAGACCCTTAAATGACGGTAAGAAACATCTTTGCCACTCCAAACCCTGTCAGGTACATCAAAAGACAAAGGAACACAAGGAGTTAGATTAATAACATGTACCGCTGTATTCAAAGCTTCTCCCCAGAATGAATTTGGCAGCCCTGCATGTGACAACAAACATCTGACACGCTCCATCAAAGTTCTGTTCATCCGCTCTGCTAATCCATTCAACTGCGGTGTCTTGGGAGGACTCTTTTGATGTCGAATACCATGGTCTCTACAATAAGCATCAAAGGGGCCAATGTATTCCCCTCCATTATCTGTCCGAATACACTTGAGCTTCTTTCCAGTCTGTCTCTCAACCGAGGCATGAAACTGCTTAAACACCTCAAATACTTGATCTTTAGATTTCAAGGTATAAACCCATACCTTTATGGAGTGATCATCAATGAATGTGACAAAGTAGGAGCAACCACCAAGTGTCCTAGTCTTCATAGGACCACAAACATCAGAATGCACCAAATCAAGTATACTCTCCTTCCTGGAAGGAGGATGGCTCTTAAAGGAAACCCTGTTCTGTTTACCTGCCAAACAGTGAGAACACTTCTTTAGATGAATATCATGCACACCCGGTAACACATTTCTCTTCAACAAAAGAGACATCCCCTTTTCACTCATGTGACCAAGTCTCTTATGCCATAAATCAGTCATGTCAGTGTTCACCACAGCATTGACCCTATCCTTGAAGATCTTCGGATGTGTCATGTACAACTTTGAGCATCTTTTACCTCTAGCCACGATCAAAGAACCACGAGTGAGTTTCCATATTCCATTACCAAAGTTGTTGCTGTAACCATCATCATCAAGTAAGCCTGCGGAGATCAAATTAAGTCTCATATCTGGAACATGTTTTACATTATGTAAAACCAACTCTATCCCAGTGTCAAACTTCAAACAAATATCTCCGATGCCTGCAATCTTTGATAGTCCATTATTACCCATCCTAACATTACCAAAGTTACCTGGAGTGTAAGATGAATAAAAATCCCTCTGTGATGTTACATGACAAGTAGCACCACTATCAACAACCCAACTGGAATCATCATGTGCAATGTTGACCATATCAAGATCAGAACAAATAAGGAACTCATCGGTAGCACTGTTAACTTCAGCATTGCCATTACCACCCTCATCTTTCTTATGGTTCTTTTGATTGTTGTAATCGCTCTTCTTCTTCTCCTTTTTCAATTGCCTGCAGAATCGTATTGTGTGCCCTTTTCTACCACAATGATAGCACTCAAAATCAGCAAACTTTCCTTTGGATTTACTTCGATGCTTCCCTTTGTTACCTGGACCTCTACTTTGACTTCTCCCCCTGCTTTCTGTAACTAAGACATCAGAATGTGAAGAGGAACCTTGTGACTTTCTTCTCATCTCTTCATTTAAAACACTGCCTTTAGCTAATTCCATGGTGATAATACCATCTGGTGCAGAGTTGGACAATGATGTCCTAAAAGTCTCCCATGAGTCCGGTAAAGTGCCAAGGAGCCACAAGCCTTGTATCTCATCTTCAAACTTGATACCCATTCCTGCAAGTTGATTTATGATTCCCTGAAAAGAATTCAAATGATCAGTGACAGGAGTTCCATCATGGTATTTCAAGCTCATCATCTGTTTAATTAAGAACAATTTATTGTTCCCGGTCTTTCGAGCATACAACTGTTCAAGCTTGTTCCACAAACTGCGAGCATGAGTTTCCCCACTAATATGGTTCAAAACATTATCATCAACCCATTGGCGAATATACCCACAAACCTGTCTATGCAAAATATTCCACTCTGCATCTGTTTTACTCTCAGGTTTATCAGTAGTAAACACAGGCAAATAATAATCCTTCACATAAAGTAGGTCTTCCATTTTGCCTTTCCAAACATGATAATTAGAACCATTCAAATTGATCATCCTACTTGTGTTTGCTTCCATCATTCAAACAAGTCTAACCCAATACAGAAGAACTCGGCTCTGATACCAATTTGATGGGAAAAACAGCCACAAACGGAACTAATAAAATGCGGAATTAATCTCCGTTTGGCTAAACTTTCCCCAACTTGAATGAATCTTTGAGGATGCAAACAAATAGGGTGTTCTTAATGCAATTAGAACACACACAAGTTGCTGCCACACACCAATATATTCAGCTAAAAACAGTAAGCACACACCACACACAAACACCGGAATTTTAGCGTGGAAAACCCGTTAACTAGGGAAAAACCACGGGACCATTTTTGGCCGCTTAAATCCACTATCATCATCAAAGGAGCAGTACAAAGTCTTCTCTAGATAATACTAGAGGCATACACATTCATCATATCCTTGGAAGTAAGCACATCAAGGTGTATGGAATCAAATAGAGCCAAGATAAGATAAATATCACCAGAAAAATAGCTACTGTCCAGACCAACGAAACCCGACCTCCGGACCTCAAAACCCGATCTCCACCGTCCAGAATGTTGGCTCAGATGCTGTGAAGCTGCTGTCCAAAAATCACGACGATCCAACGGTTCAATCTCCGGGAAAGGGATGTTTTCTGCTGCTGCCTGCTGGAAAAACGGGATGAGCATTTTTCAGCTCATGTTTTGTGATTGTTCTCACTTATCTGCTGCTCTCTTTCTGTCCATAAAAAATGTAAGATAGTGGCTGACCCATATTTTATTATTAGCTCCCAAACACACAAAGTCAAAGAAGACTTTTAATGGGCTCAATACTTGGGCTTTCCTCATGGGTCAAAAACAAAGAAAAACCCAACATCTGCAACCATCAAAACTCTCTGTTTTTCTTCCAGACGGCAAAAAGTATAGGGTTTTATCCACAGAGTTTCTCTTTGTTTGGGTTACTTGGGATGTGATTCTAATTTCCTTGGGAATGAATTCGCCGGGAGCCTGAAGTTTATTAAATTGCGATGAGGCGGTTAATAGTTTCGTACAATGCGTTTGCTGCGATTTACGTCTCATGTTATGAATGACGGCAACGGGTTAGGACCCGCACTTATTAGGTCGGGTGTTAGGCCGGGTTGAAGACCAAAGTAGATCCGAATGGACGGGCTAAGAATTTAGAAAAACACTTCCTTAAGAGCCCATTTCACAATATTGAAATTGATTGAACCCGTTTTTTTAAATTAAAATTCATTTGAAAAAAAAGTTATGATGAATTTCCTGAAATAAATGAAATTCTAGGTGACACGGCTAAGGATGTTTTCTTTTGGACTATTTTCAATCCCAAACCAGACCAGATTTCCGTAGTTATAAAATATATAGAGATCAAACGTTTACCAGACCAGACCAGTTCAGACCATACCAGACCAGATTAGACCATCAAATTTCAGTCCCAGAAAACATCCTAAATCTACCGAGTTATGTAGATATTATATTAAAAACATATGTTATGAACAAAATAAAGAAAAACATTATATGAAAAATCAACTAAAAAGACATATTACAGAAAATTTAGCCAATTCAAGTAGAAAAATAACTTCAAACTTTTTTATCCTGGTTATTACAAAATTCAGCACACAAAGTGAATAGTTAATGTTTGTTAAAAAATTGACCGAAAAGTTGAAAGTAGTTTGACTTTTAAAAATACGAAGTCCAAATACTATTTAAAGAGTTTATCAGTTTAGCTTTAAAAGCAATCTATACTAAGTTCAAATACTTCATCCGTTCCGTTTTAATTGCAACAATCAACATTTCACGTTTGCCAACGCACAAGTTTGACCATTAATATCTTTCATTCCTTATTAGTAAAAATTCAAAAAATTCATATTTTGAAAATTTAGAATGAGAAGAATTTAATAATATTTTTTTAAAAATTAATTTATAATACATTAATGAATAAAATATAGTCAAAGTAAAATATGTGAATAGTGCAAAAAGTTCAATGTTGCGATTAAAAGAGAACGGAGGATAGTACTATTTAAACAGTTAATCAATTTATTATAATCACAATTATAATTACAGTTGTAAGTATAATTATAATCACAATTATAATAATTGTAAATAGAATTAGAATCACAATTATAATTATAATTATCATAGTTATAATTATAATTATAATTATAGAACTAATAATTTAAGTTATAATTATAGCTATGATTATAGTTAAAATTATAACTGTAATTATAATTATACTTCGTGACTAATGATGATGATGATGATGATGATGATGATGATGATGATGATGATGATGATGATGATGATGATGATGATGATGATGATGATGATGATGATGATGATGATAATAATAATAATAGTTATAATAATCATAAACACTCAATCAGATCATCAATATCCAAATCAGATCAAATTAGTATGATTTAAATCAGATTAGAAGGATTCAAATTAGATCAGAAATATTCAAATCATATTAGAAAATTTCATATAAAATCATACCAGATCTTAAAAAAATCAGATCAGAAACATTAAGATCAGGCGAACAGAAAAACTTTGTATTACGATGGAAGGACACAAGAAGGGATGAGGGGAGACCAATCAAGAGGGCAAACATGACCCCTTTCCACATGGTTTTGGGAGAAAAGCCAAAAGGGGCTATCTCCTTACTCACCCACCTCCTACACTTTGACCCGAACACCCAGTAAGAAGAGAAGAAGTCTCCAAAACACCATCGTCACCGTCTCCAATCGGACTAAGAACAAGGGAGAAGAAGAGAAACAAGAAAGGAGGAGAAACAGTAGGAGGAGTAAGAGAAAACCTAGGGAATCAAGGTAATGATCTCATTGTACCTTTTCTCCTCTTATCAAATCTTATATGACTAAATAAGTCATATGAAGGATACCTAGGATTGGAAGGCGGTTCTAGGGTTAGAAACCAAAGGTTACTTGTTCACCGGAGAAAATAACCCTTTCAAAGGTTATTCGTATTTATATGGGAAAGATTTGAGTTTAGGAATGTGTGTGTCTAAATATAGGATATAAGACCCTTTTATATTGAACAATTGATTTGGATATAAGACCTTTTTATAAGACCCATATATGGCATAAATATGCTTAGGATAAATTGAGAAAATAGCCACCTTCAAAATATTGGATATAAGAACCTTTTATGTAGGAAAGATTTGAGTTGGGGTCAAACTTAGTTGTGTAGGGTTGTTTGCACGTACAACCGTGCGTTGGACTGTGTGCATGATCGTGCACACGCAATCAGAGTCAAAATCCGCACGGCGTGCGCCTCTCGTGCTCATGACCGTCAACACCTTCCAGTAGCTCCGTGTGAGTCTAAAAACCTTTCCTCATGCACGCTTCCTATGCGAGGGGTGCATTATGAGTTGGACGAATGGGGGAATCGAACTATGAGTTGGAGGTGAGTCATCATTTCCGCCAGATTTGACCTTGCGTTCCGGATGACTGGACGGAGGATTCATAGTGATTTGGGAGATGGTGTGAGGCATCACGTCAGCCAGATTCGACCTTGCGTTCCTGGATGATCGAACAAGGGATTCGAAATGGTTTGGGAGATGGTGTGGAACGGGCCGCAAGTATGGACGATCCGGATCGGAAGAAACCAAACGGTGGCATCGAAACTATGGCTAAAAGCCTCACCTCGACTACAAGTGTTGTAAACCGTTCTGGATGGCCAAATGGGGATCAACTCTATAGTTTGGAGGAGAGCCATCATTTCAGCTAGATTTGACCTTGCGTTTCGGATGACCAAACGGGGGATTCATAGTAGTTTAGGAGATGATGTGAAACAAAACTGAGGGCGACGGGTCCGAGTCTATTAGAGTCAAGTTCATGGAACACCCCATCTGAAATATAGGGGGGTTTCATGCCCGCGTTCATGGCTCGTGGCATGCGCATTTGGGCTACCCAAACGCTGCGACGAATAGCTGAACGTATTGGTCTTCCCCAAACAACTAGTCATAATGATCCGTCTAATATGACCGAACGAGGGAATCTTGGCTGGTTAAGTTTGGGCTGGGGAGTAGAGTTCCATCTCTCTTGTGCCTGGCTCGCGGTCGGCTCGTCCATCTCTAATCTGGGATGACGACCACCGCTTTATGCAGCACGAACGGCTCTTCAACGCCATTCGAAGACACTTGCTTAGGGAAGGCACGGAAGATCACGAGCATGCAACACCCCGGCCCCGCAGGACCCGAGGTAGCTACTCCACATACTCCACATACTACTCCCGTGTAAGCACGCTTAACTTTGGAGTTCTTAGCTGATGAGCTCCCTTAAAAGAAGATGCACCTTGTTGTTATGAGTAAGCATGCTTAACTATGGCTAAAAGCCTCACCTCGACTACAAGTGTTGTAAACCGTTCTGGATGGCCGAACGGGGATCAACTATATAGTTTGGAGGAGAGCCATCATTTCAGCTAGATTTGACCTTGTATCCATCTCTCTTGTGCCTGGCTCTCGGTCGGCTCGTCCATCTCTAATCTGGGATGACGACAACCGCTTTAAGAAACTTCCCAGGGGGTCACCCATCCCAAGACTACTCTCGTGTAAGCACGCTTAACTTTGGAGTTCTTAGCTGATGAGCTCCCTTAAAAGGAGATGCACCTTGTTGTTATGAGTAGTACTATTAATCCTCTTAAATTAATCTCGGGTATTGCAATTATTTTTTTTCTTTGAAAGAACTTTGGTGGAGTAAACCTTACTTAGCATTTTATGCTAATTTATCCTCTTTGTGTTTTCTCTCCTTTCTATGTTCTGTGCAAGTAATTTAATAGATGATTGGATTCTTGAGAGCGTTCTAGATGAAGATGCTTAGTTATATAATTTAAAATGTTATTTAGGACAATATCTGGTATTATTATGATTATTAATAATTTTGTAATAAAATTTTAGTAGTGATTAGCCTTAGCATCCAACCAAGTAGAGGGCTGGGTGTGGCGGTAACACGCCCTTTTTCCCATTTATTATTATTCCCGCTGCAAAACTCTTTTACTATTTTGCATGAATAAATCAAGTTTATTATCAATATATTACTATTTCAAGTATTATTTGGGGCGGGAAAATTGGGGGTGTCATAGAGCAAGACTCTACTTTATCAAGTAGATTCGCATGTTCACTACTCAAGAAAGTGGGGGACTTGTGTTGGGGTATATATTACCCCGGCTTACTACTGTTCAGAGGCCCGGGGCATCACCCCGGAACGGAGCCCAGTCAGCGAGGCTCATTTAGGCCTACCCGTCCCATTCAGAACCATTTAAAGCCATTTAGGCCCACACTGGCCTGCTTCGGCCCGTAAGGCCCTTCGAGGCTGTTAGAATAGAAGGTTTCCCCATCTATAAATAGGAAGCAAGACTTCCATTTCAAGGGATATTAAATGAGCTTATAAACTCCATTAATGGAGGTTCTACATTTGTACTTTGTATATGGTGAGGAGAGTATTAATGAGAATGAGTGGGCTTGGAAGTTAGCCTAAAAAGTCCCGTGGTTTTCTCCCTTTCAGGTTTTCACATAAAAATCGAGTGTCATACCAAATTGTATTTATATTTACAATCTCATGTTGGCTTAAAATCAACAAATTCATTACTTCAAATTTTGAACTGTTATAATGAATTAATGATATGCTAAAATTTACTAAATATCATGACATGTTCTTGGCTCGTATTGGTACACCTGATAACTTTTTCATTTTTTCATGAATATGTTCTAAAATAGAGAACTTAATTATGTGCATACAATATAACATAACAGACCCAGAAATAATCACAATGAAACAAAAAATAATCAGAGTAAAAGTCAGAAAACAAATAGAGATTAACTAGTAACTACTATTGGAAATATGATTGAAAAATACAATTTGGGGTCTCATTAACGAGCCTTAAGGATAAATGTACTCCGTATAAAATATGTGATAATGTGCATTTCCATATTTTATCCGCTCACTTTGAAATCACATTCTATTGGTTTTCGGATTTAGTTGTACTTTAATTGTTTTGATTCTCACATTTTTTTTTTTGGCAGAAACTCAGATTTATTTTGTTTAGTAACTAGCAAGTGCTAATGTGCTATTAACGTTTTTATTGTTTTTCATGTATTTTAGAATTTAGACCATTTCTAGCATCCCAACTTTCCAAGACAATCATAAAACACCGAAATCCCAAAAGTCAATCCCGGATCAAACTCTTGGGGTGACCAGTCAACTCTCCCCTTCTACTCATCCCTCTCCATTCCAGTCAACCCTCTCAAACCCTGCCCGAAGTTAAGCTGCACGCAGAGAACGGAGGCAGTCCCCCCCCCCCCCCCCCCCCCCATGCCGCTGAAGCTGCCAGCCGCAGGAGATCCCGTCTTCCTTGCCGGAATCTGCACAGCAGATGAAGAACGACCAACAAATAGAAGAAAAATGAGAGACAGTCCGATCGAGAAGAGTGCAGCTGCCGTCTCATTCTCCGTGCTCAACCGTTTCGCCGTTGAGCCGCCGGATTTTGCCGCAGAACCGTCACCATTGCTCCATCGATCTGAAAAGGAGAAGTAGCAGCGCCGGAGATCGACGATGAAAAAACCAGACCTCCGAAGGCTAAAAGGTCAAATAGATACATGAACTAACTTAAAGTGTTCAATTAGCCCCTTATATAGGAGGTTCTGCCCGGCCGTCGCCAATTGGGGCGGTTCCCGATGGATTTTTTTGATGATTTTTTTTGAGAAACTTCTTCATTAAGTCTAGTTTACTCATACCAAATTTCAGCTAAAAATTCAACCGGGAAGACAGTCAAATGATTTTTTGAAGATAACTGCACAGTTAAACAGCGCAGTACATTTCGGAAAATCGATTGACTGCCTTCCCGATTTAATTTTTAGATGAAATTTGATATGGGTAAACTAGACTTAATGAAGAAGATGCTCAAAAAAATTCATCCAAAAATTCAACTGGGAACCGCCCCAATTGGCGACGGCCGGACAGAACCTCCTAAATAAGGGGCTAATTGAACACTTTAAGTTAGTTCATGTACCTATTTGACCTTTTAGCCGACCTCCGAATTACCTCTGCCGCTGACTATCGCCGCCTACTTTCCGTCGCCGCCGTGCCTCGATTCAGCGAAGATGAAGACCCGGCTGCGGCACTCAACGATGAAGAAGAGGCAGACCTCTGCTGCGTACGATTTACGAAGGTGAAGAAATGGGCTGAAAGATCTAATCTGATTTTAGGAAGCGAAAAGACCAAAATTTCCCCACAGGTCTTTTGTTTTAATATTCTGGCTTCTACCCTTGATGGTCATTTTTATAGTCCGAGTTTTACACGATAAAATCCACATTTCAGATTAGGGAAGGAAGTAGAAGATTCAACTCATTCAAGCTCGTGAACAATTAAGCCCGAGTAGGTACACACTTTCATACACGCTAGTACACACTCATGTTTGTGTAGGGTTTTTTGTTGTTTGTATACAGACTCATGAGTGTGTACTAGCGTGTATGAAAGTGTGTACCTAGAGCTTAATTGAAGCTCAAGCTTTCCTCCCGCATTTCAATGCATTGCTTCTCTTTTGTTCACGTGATATTTTTCTACATCTTCTACTTTAGTTAAATTTAAAATTTAAGTCTTTAATTTCATTTAGGGAAAATTTTACAAATAGGACTAATTCATAGTTGACTTCCACAAATAGGACTTTTAAAACTTGTAGGACCTAAAATCATGCAAACTGACAATAATGCCCTCAATTTGTCACGCCCCGGACCGCGTCCGTGCCACGTAGACAACCGCCGTACAACCCAATAAGAACAACGTAGTTCATCCTTATCAAATCATACAAGGCGTCCGTTAAGTTCTATTGCCAAGCCGATTAGTAAACCCATACAATCAACATCAATATATATTAGTCAAACAAATGCGGAAAATAAGATATGTTTGATATTTAGCCACACGTGGCAAATACAGGCACGCAGGCCCCCAAATGTTTTAATAGAAAACATTGTTAAAAATATCCATGAGCAGTTCATCAATTTTGAATAAGAATGGAAGCACGAACCACGTCTTCCTCCTTGATCAATCACCCTAGGCGAAGGTGCAGGTAGTAGGACTCTAGCCTCAACCTGAAAAATGTGAGGGCCCCCGAAGGGGTCAGTACTCCATAAAAGTACTAGTGACAAGCAGGCTATATGAGGAATAACTAATGTTTCAGACACGAGACCCAAAAATAGGATGATACATATATAGGTGTAACCATTGTTACCCCATTCCCAAGATAATACATACTGTATATACTTGTAAAATACTTGACCCGTAGTTCGTTTCCTCACAAAAGTCTTTTAGAGATAAGGTGTTTACCCAACCTTCCCCCTTTCTTTCCTGAATGCCTAGCTCAAGGGCTACATTCTACCTTCATAATATCCTACCGAGTTTCGGGAGTGTTTACCGTCCCGGGGATGCTCAACCCCACCGAGTTTTAGGATTGTTTACCGTCCTGAGAATACTCAACCTCACCGAGTTCTTGGGATTGTTTACCGTCCCGAGGATACTCAACCTCACCGAGTTTCTGGGATTGTTTACCGTCCTGAGGATACTCAACCTCACCGAGTTTCTGGGATTGTTTACCGTCCCGAGGGTACTCAACCTCACCGAGTTTCTGGGATTGTTTACCGTCCCGAGGGTACTCAACCTCACCTTAATATTCACCAATCCTAACCTGGATATGGCTAACCTTGTAATCACTTAACTATGGACAATACCTAGTCCTATAGTCATACAATAATCCTTAGTAACCAACGTGGACGGGTCCCACCTGATCGGTCCACGTTATCCTACTCAAAAACTACCCGTTTTGAGTATAACCCAATACCCGGTCGGGTATCAAACCTTACCCGGTCGGGTAGGGCGGGCAGTAGCCTCTGGATGCCAATTCTACTTGAGACCCGGTCGGGTCTATACCCAGACCCGGGCGGGTCTAGTGTGGCAGTAGCTTCTGGAGCTATTTTCATCAATACCCGGTCGGGTATTTACCCATACCCGGTCGGGTATCACCTTTGTCTCGGCGGTCAACGCTCGTTTGACCACCCAAACGAAGTCCGATTAACGTGAAATTTTATACACATGTACTTCTCTTCGTCCTTGATCCAAAAATACCATTTTGGATCCCTGGAACATCATACATAATAAGTTATCATATTTTAATCATCAAACATACATAACATGCTTTTCAACTATGTTTTATGTATAAACATGGAATAAGCAAATATTTGATTATCTTTAGTCATTCCATAAAACATCTTCTTGATTACTTTAGGTAATCTCATGCCTCACGCAAAAGTTATAAAGCATATAGCCGTCTTCTCACCTTAAAAGGAGCTTATGAAGTTCTAGTCTTCCTTATTGAGCTCCAGTGAAACTCCGGTGAACTTCAACCAACTCCGGCGACAACTCCGGCGCCCCTTTCAACCCCGTGAAAGTTCTTGAGATACCTTATACAAGTTAATAACAAGGTTTTATCATCATAAAACCCATATCAATACAAATAACCTCAAAAAGGTTATTTTCCGGTGAAACGGTCAACTTTGTTCTCTAAATCCGTTTTGGATATGAATCAACCTTGCAACCCTTCATTCTTCCCATATAACATGTAGAATGGTCCTAGAGGTATGAAATATGATCATATAATCATATTGGAAGGTTAATGAAGAGGGGTGGGATTAATGGAGTTATTACCTTGTTAATCCTCAAGTTTTCCTCCTTCTTTCTCTTTTCTTTCCCCTCCTTCTTCTCCTTAAGCTTTGGTTCGAATATGGTGGATGAAAATGGAGATTTTGATGAGCTTCTTTCACTTGGTTGATGCTGGACACGAATGGGATTAGTTGGTGTGATTGAGAATGCCATTTTGGCATCTCTCACAATAATACTATGGCAAAGGTCCCACCTTCCAATTGATTGAGCTCTCAATCAATTTTCCTCCTTGTTTCTCCATGTCCTTGTGCGTCTCCCATGGACATTTGCAGCACCAAATTCGTGGGGTGGCCCCCACTTATGTGGGAGGTCATCCATTTATGTCCCTAAGTGTACACTTGGTCCCGAAAGTTGTATTTTCGGGACTGTTTTAACTATATTTCATTTTATTGGGTCAAATGAAATGTGTATCATTCTTCCAACTATTATTGGCTTTTAGAATGAATGTATATTCCCCAACTTTTAATTTGGCGGTCTCCATAATTTATTATGGCTTTTTTTTATCTGTTAGAGCGTCAGTACCGATAAATGGGCTTTTTATGCCCGACTGGTTACTCACATGATTCCTATGGCCCAACAAGGATATCCACCATTGTACACATATTATCTTGACCCAAACGAATATAATATGTGGCCCCGATAATATCGGGCGGCCCCCACTTCCGGTGTAGGCCCCACGCGAATTTTACTATTCACGTAAAAGAAATGATGAAAATTTTACAATCGCGTAGAATGCGTTTATTCATTTCTCAGGGTTCAATACACTATTTGATAAAGTACAAATACTTGGGGGCGGTGTTACACAATTAAACCTGAAGAACAGCCTCACCGCATCTATCGATCGACATAGTTCGCTTTTGCCGTTTCCAAAAAACTGTCTGCTACTACTCCTCCAAAGCTTCTTCTAAAAAAATTTCTGTTAGAAATTCAAAATGATCGATTTCATAGAACTACAAAGAAGAAACGAAAATGCATGGAAGAAACAAAGACAAAAATGGTGAAGAGAAAGAAGAAGTTGGAAGACAAAAATGAAGAAAACATAGAAAACGAGAAGAAGTTTTAGACGACGATTTCAAGATGAAGGAGACGAAGGAGAAGAACCAACGAAGGAGAAGAACCAACGAAGGAGGAGAAGAACCAACGAAGGCGATGAAGGGCTTTGACTTCACAAGAGATTTTTTCACATGTTGAGGATCAGAGTGTGTATTTACCAAATGAAGCCACTTATGAGTCTGTTGAGAAGATAGAGGGACAAGGTGAGATTAATCCGACCCAGGGCATTCTTGGTTCAGTATTTTCGAAAGATGAAATAGAAGTTATGCGTTTTTCGACAGGGTTGACCGATCGTGAATTGCTAGACCGCTCAGGTGATCCATCCTGGAATCGATTTAAGATTCCAAGAAGGAGTGCAAGGCTAGCTAAAAACATTTGCAAGGCTTGCTAAGAATATTTGAAGATCTTTTTAGCCTTTTCGTTATTTGCAATTATCTTTTTAGCGTTTGTACTCTCCTTTACCTTTTTAATATAATAAATTTCTCTTTAAAAAAATAAAAATAAATGATTGTTATGGTATGTATCGTAAACAAAGCACATTTGTTCTGGTTAATATGTACTATAGTGCATCTAATTCATGTCTGAATGTACTGAACTCGTAGTCTAATGCATTGATGCAATCAAAACTGTTATATGAAGGGGGAATTTGACTTTGCACCCCATTTTAAAAAACTTTGATTTTGCACCTCATTTCACTTCAAAATCCTTTGACTTTGCACCCCATTTTGAAATTTTCCTTCACAAATGTTAAATGATAGGGTGCAAAGTCAAATGTTTTTTAAAATGGGGTGTAAAGTCCAATATCACCCAAAATTTGGGGTGCAAAGTCAAATTCTCCCTTATATGAACACCTATATTAATGTCTATTTTATGTCATTAACTAGACATTAAATGACACTTAATGTCATTTTTTTTGTTTTTTGTTTTACAAGTCAAAATCCAAATAAGTAGATTTATAAGTTCATATTATGTCTTTTATAGTCACGTTATTTAAAGAGAAATGCTTAAAAGTAGTAAATTCACAAATCAAAATTTTAGGTATACCATGTAAAGGTAACTTCAATATTTGAAATACAAATGAGATATGGAAAAATAACTTATAAACTAGTATATTTTGATCACATTAGTTTATGAATCAGTTTATGGTTGTATACTAATAAACTTTATGTGGCTCACATAACATAGTTTTTCACACAAATATTTCAAATACGAAGAGTGAAGAGATGCAAAAATAGTGTCTTTTAATAAACTTATAAAGTAGTTCTTTATTAAATTAATAAATTTCAATTGTATATTGTTCCATAAAAAATCAATTGTATACAAAAGTGATTTCTTCATACTTAAATGTGTTGGTAACAAAATAGTCAAAGTGGAACCACTTTAACTATTATACCCTCCATTACAAATGAGATAGCAGACAACTTGAAATCTTGAATAATTTTAAAACCCCGTCGTCTATGCACAATAAAATTTGGCAAAGAACAGAGAAAGTCGTTGGGCTCAATGGAAACATTGCCGACTGAAAATATTCTTCAGGCCTCGAAATCGAAGCCTGAGAGGGCGGCGACAAATCAAGTTGACTACGAAGAAAACTAACGAACAACATTTAAACGGCAAAGAAAAATGGCAAAGAG